TTTCTGTTTTAATTAAATGTTATTAACCTATTTCTGTTGAATGGTGTGTTTTTTTTTTTTTTTTTTTTTTTTTTTTTTTTTTTATATATATACTCTGGGCTATAAAATTTTTTGCAGTTGCGGCACCATTTTAATGAATTTTTGGTGTCCTAAAATAACTTTAAACAGGATCTGAGAGCATTTTGTAATTAGAGACTGTTTTTGGTCAATGTTGCAGTTAAACACTTCAAGAGGGTAAAACTTCAAGCAGTCTTAACACAATCTACATTGTAAAAAGCAATAAACAAATTTAAATCTTGTGCCCCAAACTCAAGTATACAAAATACATTTTTAGCTATACATGATTGTTTTTTATATACTTCAATGCAGAGGTGTTTAACTCCATGTCCTAAAGGGCTACAGATCTGCAAAACTTGGCTTTTACTCCTAATTAGACACTTGCTTAAACTCACTTAAAGCATGGTAGAAAATGTAGATCTGTAGGATGATTTATCTGTTTTTTTGTGTAGCTTTACCATTTAATTAAATAGTAAGTTTGTCCTAGCCTCTTTATTAGGGTTGTTGTGACTGTAGTTACCATCAACAGGGCATTTCCCATTTACACCATCTAGGCATGGATTCATGGCTTAAGGAAGATGTACACAAAGGCATTAAAATACAATGTGAAAGTAAAATTAAAGTTTCTTAGTCATCTAATGTTACTTGATGTTGTAAATAACATTTACTATTAATTGTGTACACTACCATACAAACAAATTATAAAAGTACACATTCACACTTACAAGTACATACTTTTTCATTGCCTGCATGACCTGGATGGCACATGCATATTCTCCTTCTGGGAAGAGTACGCGTATACACAGCATGGGCTGAGCAAACTCCATTCCTCTCTGCACATGCATCTATAGCTTGGGTTGAAGATAATACAATGTATTATATTAAATCACTCTACAAATGTTTAGTTTTGAGATGAATATTTTCACAACATGTTCCATTCCCCTGAAATACTGCAGTGTAACTACAGTAATATGAGCTATCTACCAAGCAGCTACATTTAAAACAAGTTTAACAAACCCTATGTAAGCATGTCACAAAAGCATTTGACCTAGTTAGAAATCCAAAAGGTGAGGGGTATTTGCAATCAATGTTAAGCTATAAACCAATTTCAAACCACACCTTCAGTTAATGAGGTGCAGCTGTTTCTAATTCAACTAATCTTGTTCTTTCGGTGTAATGTACAGTTTAGCTCTAAAGCTGCGGTCACTGGGCTTTTCCTCTCATAGATTAATTTTTTCCCCCTCCATAGACTTTTTTGCATACGCACGAATGCGTCAGACCGGAAACGCATGGGTTATGCATCAAGTTTTGCAGGTTGCTGCAGTGCAAAGTTCAAGCTCGGTGAACTCTGACCTGCGAAATTGCATCACTTGACTGTGAGACCAATCGAGGATCGAAATATGACCTGTCTGGACAGAAATTTATAATATGGAGCAATCCCTCGCTTTTTTAATGTCTAATAATCTTGTTTTATCCCTCCCCTTATGCATGCCAGAATTTCGCATTATCAAACGCCAGTGTGCCTGCAGCTTGACTCTAATCAAACACGCGTGCTAATAGGTTTCTAGTGATCTTGAAGACACTGATTAGCATGCTCAGGTGTGTTTGATTAGTATTGAAGCTCAGCTATGCAGGACACCAGCCGTCCAGGACCAAAAGTTTGCTCAACCCTGGTTCACACCCAACAAGCAATTTTGCATGTAATTGAAATATAGCATGGATGTTTTTGCTTATTTTTTTTTCCAACTGTTTACACACAAAATCTTTTTTTTTTTTTTTTTGTCACAGTTTCTGAAACCTCTCACTCAAAATGCAAAACTACACCTCAAATCTCCAAAAGCAGAAGATATTTTAAAGCCTTGATCTCAATTTTCACTTTTTTTCCCAAAACACTACACAATTCTTTACCTAAAACACAAAATTATAACACGAATCAATTTGCTTGCCTTTTTTAAACACAACCAATCACAATGCTGCACTTATGCTGAAAGTCATACACACTCCACAAATGTAAAAATATATAGGCCAATGGGGATGGGACACTGCTGTTCTGGTCCAGAAAAAAATTGGTTTTCCACCCATCTGAAATATATAGTTTTTTTTACCTACCCTATTTTCTCCTTTTCTAAATCCTAAATTCTAAAAGAATAGAGGAATTCATCGGAGCCTAGTGCTGTCAAGTGAATGATGACCAAACCCTATGCCCACGTGCTGCTTCTGCAGGTAATGGACACACAGTTGTGTTCTTTTCACAGTTGTGTTCACACACTGATGTGTTCTTTACTGTTTTCTGGAGTACACACTTTTGCTTTACTTTTTTTTTTTAATGTTTTTTTATGTTTTTTTTTAATGCTATAAACAACAATAAAGTTTGACCAAATAAATATTTTCATTTTTACACAAATTTTTTCATGTGATTGGTGTTTACAGTGTACCTGTTTCTCCTCTCAGCTGTAAAAGCATATTGAAACATTAATATAAGCCTAAAGAGCTTTAGATTTAGAACAACAGTGTTTTTGGTAAAATAAATGGATATTCTAAAAAAAATGGTCCATGCTGAATTCCTGAAGGCTGTGAAAACAAAATAACTGTATAATGTACATACAATGGGGATTTTGTCACAAGAATGACCAATGGTCAGCAGTGTGTCTTCATGCAACAGCTGGCTGTACATGCATCTTCTCTTTCTGCTCATCTGATAATAAACAAATGAAGCATTATTATTACTGTAATCACAGAAATTAGAACTCATGAAAAATAGTTCTACTGCTTTATTAAATACACAAAAAAAGAAACGAGAAAATAGAAATAACCATTAGAATTAGGAGAAATGTTAAAATGACAAGAAAATTAAAAATATAGCACATCAATAATTCAAAAAGATTTTTATGTCAATTTTGCTAATAAATAAACAATCATACTTCAGATATAAAATAATAATTTAATATAAATAATTTTTAGTAAGAATTATTCAAATGAACTCTAGGCATGTTATACAGTGAGCATGCATTAAAACAACAACAACAACAACAACAACAACAACCGTAAAGTGTGCCCGCAACTAACTAAGTATCTAACGAACTAAACGCACTAATATGGGTTTCATTTTTATATTTGACTGTGTTATATTTGAATATGATTAAGAGGCCATGGATAATAAAATTGTGTGGTTGACCGTGTTGTTTTTGTATAACTCTGCAAATAAATGCAAATATTCAGTCAATATTTCATGTTTTTGATGAAATTGGGATGAAAAACGTGTGAATGATTCAGTCACTGACTCGTTTACAAAATAAAGACAGTCCCTTGTCTCCATCTAGTGGCTCAACTACAAAAACACAACCAAAAGGTTTTTTTTTTTTTTTTTGTCCAACTGCTGGAACCAAAAGAGGCCACAATAAGAAGCAAACCATGCTTGACACTGGATCTGCATGAAGCAGGCTTTCAAAAATGTGGCATCTGAAAAACATAAGCATTTGATTTAAAAACTAAAAAATTGTAAGAGTAATAATTACAATTTTACTCAAACCATTTAAATCCAGGGAATGTTCTGAAAATTGCAGTAAACTAATTTTTGTGAAATAATTGTTTGGGGGAAAACGATGACCATATTTATTTTTGGAAACGCAATGTCATGACAACAACCCAATCGCACTGCATGAATATGTAAACAAATGTGTCTAACTGTGAGCTAACATGCTACGCCATAATTTCATTCATTTTCTTGTCAGCTTAGTCCTTTTATTAATCTGGGGTCACCACAGCGGAATGAACCACCAACTTATCCAGCAAGTTTTTACGCAGCGGATGCCCTTTCAGCCGCAACCCATCTCTGGGAAACATCCACACACACATTCACTCATACACTACGGACAATTTAGCCCAACTCACCTGTACTGCATGTCTTTGGACTGTGGGGGAAACCAGAGCACCCGTAGGAAACCCACACGAGCACAGGGAGAACATGCAAACTCCACACAGAAACACCAACTGAGCCGAGGCTCGAACCAGCAATCTTCTTGCTGTGAGGCGACAGCACTACCTACTGCACCACTGCTTCGCCACACCATAATTTTAAACAAATAAAGACAAATTTGCAAAACGAAAAGTCTTGTTTACAATTTGAGCATGTGCTTGCATTCAACACAACAGTACATCTCTCAATTTAACAGCTGAACTCATTGGTCAAAGCTGGCTTTCTTTTAACATAAGCCCAGACACACAAAAAAATCCACGTTACAAAATGCATGAAATGTCATCTTACCTGGAACTGGCTAATATTGACGTTTGTCCTGTACTGATTACAAATTAATCCTTCTGATACATTTATGATCCTGCTAAAAAAAGCCTAGGCTGGTTGGCTGGTTTTAGCTGGTTAACCAGCCTGGTTTTAGAGGGGTTTTGGCCACTTCCTGTTTCCAGCCATTTCCAGTCTGGTCCTAGTAGCTGGCAAGGCTGGAAAATGACTAGCTAAAACCAGCTGACATAGCTGGTTTTAGCTGGTTATCCTTTAGCCTGACTAAAACCAGCCTGGTTGACCAGCTAAAACCAGCCAATCCGCATAGGCTGGTTTAAGCAGTTTTTTTTCAGGAGGGGAGCCACAAGAGGGAGCTGACAATCAACTTTGGTCATATGCATTGTGCACATTAATCGACTTTAGCTTGAGTTTGAATGACTTAAATTGTGTTTGAGTGATTTTAATTTCGTCTAGCCAACTTTGATACATATTTAACCCTGCAGGCTTTATTATTATACGATTATGTGTTAGAATCTGTAATGCAGTTCTCCATCCGCTCCACTAGGCAGTGCTCGCGCCTTCACGTTTAGTCTGACAGCTTCTTGGCAGCATGGCATTTGTTTTGGATAGGGAACTGTTTTGAATACTGAAGATGACAGCTCAGTGAGAGTGTTTTAAAGTCACTAAACAACATATATAATATATACTAAACAACATATCAACTAAAACAACCGACACACGCTGCGATAAAGTGGAGGAATGCAGTGAAACTCGACTCACCTGTGAGTATATTTACAGTATTGTTCTATTGAGGTAAAGTTGGCTTTACACTCACACATTCAGACTTTCTCCTTAATAACATAATTTCCAGCAAAGCAAGTAAACTCTAAATGCCAATGACTATTAAAAGTACAACATTGTTCAATCAAATAAATAGTGCTAATGTTGTTTTCAGTTATATTTACATGCGATTTTAGCGAATATTCAAAGTAGCATGGTAAACAATTTAATATATTATTATATATTAAGCTTAATTAATATATATATATATATATATATATATATATATATATATATATATATATATATATATATATATATATATATATATTATATATTAAGCGTGTCACAAGTTGTCACTGATCTAATTTGTGAATATAAAACCAACTTTACCTCAATCATGAATTGTTTGATTATGGTGGTATTGAGGTAAAGTTGGTTTAAGATTCACATTATATTCAGACTTTCTCCTTAATAATATAATTTCAGAAAAGTAAGAAAATTCTAAATAGTGAAATGATATTAGCAGTCAATGACTACCAAAGTACATTGTTCAAAGTCAATTTTAATAATTGGGCTAAAGTTAGTTTTATATTCGCACATTTGTTCATGTTTGACCAATGACAAAAGTACTACATTGTTCAGTCAAATAAATAGTGCCAATGTTGCTTATTATACAAATTATACTGGCATGCAATTTTGCAATATAGTACCATGGTAACCAATGGAGGGAGCGTGTCACAAGTTGTCATTGAACTAATGGGCGAACATAAAAACAAATTTACCTCAATCTACATATTCACTGTTTACCAGACATGCTTTCATACTCTGTAAATTTGGTTTTATATTCGTACATTCGTTCAGTGACAACTTGTGACACGCTTTATATGTTGTATAACATGGTAGTTTAAATATTTTGGTGTGAAATTGCATGTAAATATGACTTCAAAACAACATTGGCACTATTTAATTTACATTAGGATTTCTCTTATTGGAATTTACATAGAGTACTTTTCTGAAATGATATTATTAAGGAGGAAGATCAAATATGGGTATATTAAACCAACTTTACTTCAATTATTGTTCTTACACGTTCTTATTCTGTCTTTTTCTTTGTACAAATACTTCAAGTCAAGTCAAGTGGAGTTTTATTGTCATTCCGCTAGAGGAATGAAATATTGTGTCTCGCAGGACAACGGTGCTAGATTAATCACAAATACAAACACGACACTGGACAAAAGAGCTATTTTAAAAAAAAACCCATGCATAACTAACATTTACTATAAAATAAAATAAAATAAAATAAAATAAAATACTTAAACTACATAAGACAGGCTATACAAGTACTTTAACATGAGACTGAACAACGTTGTGCAGGATATTGTGCAAGAGAGGTAATAAAGGTGAATATTGTTCAAAAGAGGTATTTAAGGTTTAATATTGTGCAAGAGTTATTTAATGTTGAAGCGGGTAATGGAATATGATTGTGGTACATTTATAGTAAACGTTGCTTTCATTGTTTCATATACTACTGTTTTAATGATACAAATTATTACTCGTGTGAAGTATAATAACAGGGGTGTAAAATACTCAAGTAATTTTACTTGATTACTTAAGTGTCATTTTGGAGGATTTGTACTTTTACTTGACTTCTACAGTTTGATTTAACTATAAAAGCTAATACATTTTTCCGTTTTATTTTCTTCCTTATATTTTGCACATTAAAATAGTTAAACAATCAATGAAAGGTGCATACTTGAACAAATAATGTGTGTTTTTGTAAACTGAAAAAATTATTCAAAGATGATTCCTTGAGTTTACTTTCGAAGTTGAGTGGTTGTAAACAATTTGTTTATGCTGAACACTACTAAATTTAATTAGTTTAAATTTATTTTTAATAAGTTTAAATTCAACACAAATAAATAGTTTGCAACAATTTTTCAAACAACATTTTTTTCAGTGTACATTGTTTTAGCTTGTTAATCAACCATGGAAAAAAGAGATCCACTTGAAATGTTTTGCCGATTTGAAATCATTTATATTTTTGAGTAAAACATGTTTTTTGTTGTTTTTATTTAGAGTTTTTTTTGGAATAAATATGGTGACATGTTTTCAGATTATATTCATAGCTTATATCCATTTAAAGACAACACATTTTATTTTCGCAAGAGTTCAGAAATCAGTTTAGTTGAATAACCCTATATTCTGACAAATTAACATTTCCTAGAAAGAAAGATGACAATATTTTATTGGAAACTTGGACAAGATGTGATCAGACATTTGTAGAATCATACAAATATTAATATTTTACTCAGACATACTAAACACTCATGCAAACCTTTGCACATGTTTCTCCATTTCAGTTTAGTTTTTTTTTTAAATATAATTTTCCCTGTGTTTATTCTAACAGCATAAATGTAAGTGTTTTTATTGACATTTGAATACTTCACCCTTGTTTCCTTCAACACTTGCAAAAAGTTCCTTCAGGACTTTTGGACAAAAAATGATCATTTAAACCCATTAAACTGTTTTTATTTAGTATCATTTAACTATAAAATGATGCATTTTTTTCTTAATATCTAGGCTTTCATTCTATGGAGAGGCTTTGTAATTTAAATTTGTGAAATATTTTACTTGATGGTGCCATTTTTTTTTAAGTTTGGCATATTAAGAAAATGCTCGCTTTATTCATGTCTTATGCAAATTATATGCAGCTTTAATTGTGTGGGTATGCTGGTATGCTACATGTCAAGTGTGTGGTTTGAATATGTGTTTTTGTAAAAAGTTTGACAAAAATAAATAATTTGTACTAGAAATCCCCCCATCAGGCCACATCCTTGCTATGAATATTACTGTAGGTCAAAGATGGTTAATGAGTCTTGATTTTATTATTTGTTTTAATCAAACTTAAATCTTCAAATGTTTTATTCCTTGGTCACACTTTTTTTATTTGTTATTTAAGTAAGCTTGATTTTCATATAGAAGTTCAGAAGCCCCTGAACACCTTGAATTTGATTTCACCTGGAGAAAATGCAGTTTTTCTTTAATATGGTAGATTTTAGACAACGTCTGTGTTAACACTGGTTTACTTAAAACCAAATAGATATATGAAGCTTGAGTCTTTCAGTCTTTCTCTAGAGCTACAGTGCTCAGCATATATAAGTACGCCCCATCTTTTAAATCGATATTTTTAATAGGAAGCTATACACTTTTATATTTGTGCATATACATTAGATCAGTCAGTACTGAAGCCAAATCTGGAGCTAATCTAACAAAACAACTCATGATAACGGTTCAAAAACTAGTACAGCCAGATTTATATGTTATAGAAAAATATTAAATATAAATAAAAAAAGAAGAAAAATCAAGAGAAGCAAAAAAAAAGAAACATTTGGTTGAAATTTTGTAGATTATAATTATTTTTTTCAATATTTTGCTTGAATTTAATTGCATTATCTTTCAATTTCTAAATATGTTTAATGACTAAAATATTATTTTAATAAATATATCTGTTTAATAAATCTGTTTTGTTTAAATGCACCAAAATACATTGCCTATATTTATTGAGAAATTGATAAAAATATAAATTTTCAGAATGGGGTGTACTCAATTATGCTGAGCGCTGTATATTGCAGCCACAGACAATAGCTATGTTTCCATCCAAAGATAGGAATTAACATATTTGCTAAACTGGAATATCACATAAAACATTTGCGAATAAACCAAAATATCCTTTCAATGAGTCAAAGAGAACTAAATCCTCACTTCCTGATAAACTGGTGCAAAACTGGTAAAAAAAAATTGAGAGTTATAGGTGTCATAAAAACAATGTTTTGACTTATTTTTTCTTTTTTTGCGTTAAAATCAGTACTACTTTTCACATTTTGTAAAGAAAGCATGTAAAAGACTACAATTCTGACAATAAAGGAAATTTGGTTATTATGATTAGAACTGATGAAAAATATAAGAGAGGGAAAGTTAAAAAAATGTTTTTATGACAGTGTTTGGACATGGCAATTTTTGTCCTTTCAGGGCTTTAATGGAAACATTTTTTTTCCAACACTGCCTTAAATATGAATGCCTTAAAATTTACGTTTTTTGTTTATCATTGTCACATCCAAGGCTGTAATTAAAGAAGAAAAAAATCAGCTTAGCATATATTATATGGAAAATAACTACTATTTTTAAATTATTTTCATTAAAAAACATGCAATTTGTTTAAAACAAACAAACAAACAGCAAGTACTGATGCTGGTGTAGAAATTGATTGATATCAGCTAAAATAGAAAATACACCAATATAAATTTTAATAATAATAATAATAAAAATAAATAATAATTATATATATATATATTGATTCCCGTCCAATCAAATCGCACATAGAAGGTAAATTGCATCATAATGAACTACCTCAAGACATGGGCGATTTATAATTGCAGCAAACTATTTGGAAGCATTAAAAATGCCCAAGAAGATGTTCAAAATCTTTATATGTATTGACCCAGAGGCTGTTTCAATGCATGTCACTGATGAGAAGACAATTATGTTTACTGTATGATGACCGAAATGGCCTTAAACACCCAGCAGACACAAGACATCAACATGACATCAGATTGACGTTGTACATTGCATTTTTAAACAACCTAAAATTAACCAAATATCAATGTCATTTGATGTCATTATTGGACATCCAAAATAATGTTCTCCTTAGACGCTGGCTAGACCTTGAATTTTGGTCACCTGATATCACAACCTAAATCTAACCTAATATTAACGTCTTTGTGCCTACTGGGCAATAACTGGATGCACTACAGAATGTTACGTTTACACACACACGCACAAATTAAATGTAAATGCATCCATCAGCTTTTATAGCGTAATTCTTACTACTCTTGAGTACTTTTGAAAGCTCTACTTTTTACTCCTACTTTGAGTAATATTTACATACTTTTACTCTACTTGCTTACTTGATTTTCAGTACTCTTTCACCACTGCTTAGAGTACATGTAAACAGATTTGCAGCCAGATTATATTAAATTCTTTTGTTGCACTTGTTGTACAATAAATGACAAACACAAAACACATAGTGAGGAACATTGCAGGCTGTGTCTTTGTTTATTTATGCATGTTTGTATTTAGCTTGTGTATGTTTATTTGTATGTTTTTATCATATTTAATTATTTTATTAATATTTTTATAACTCTTTATTTATAACTTTTTTTGCACAACTATCCTAGAAAAATGCTGCACTTACATTTATTTGTAAACTCCAGTTGTCAATTCTGTGACACCAAACAACTTTACTGCATTTTAAAATAGAAATGGGTCACAACCTTTATACACTCAATGAAACAAAAATAATAATAAGAAAATAATAAATGTACATTATTTTAATGCCTGAAAATAATATTTTGATTATTTTTTTTTATATTTGCACCTATATTTAACAATTTTACATTGGTTAGTCAGTAATTTTTTGTTTTCACTGCAAAGTGCACTTCAGAGGACATTATATGCAATTTGCAATGCACCGCATGTAAACGAATGAAAATAGCATTGGGTAAATTGTATACTACATACTGCTTTATCTTTATATGATGCTACAGCAACCAGTTAAATGGATGAGCCTTAATTTGGATCATTTGAATTGGTTACTGTAGATCTGCACTGACTTGATCATTTGAACCAGTGAATCGTTACCTTGTAGATTTGCTCTGACTAGATCATTGAGTCAATGAATTGTTACCTGTAGACTTGCTCTAAATGGATCATTGAATCAGTGAATCGTTACCTGTAGACTTGCTGTAAATGGGTCATTTGAATCGGTGAATCAATAAATGTAGACTTAAGCTGCGTCCCAAATCGCATACTTATGCACTATTCTACGCCATTTTGTAGTATAAATAGTGTAAGTAGTGTGTTCACACTGAAAACACTAAAAATAATGAGTGCACTTCAATTACCCGGATGATGCACTCATTCAGCCGCTAAAATGAAGTGTGGAATGATAGACACTTCACGCACTCAACGACCGCAGGTTTGCTTACGTAGCGGAAGGGGCGGAGCTATTGGACGCACATGTTGAATAACTTTATTTATTTTGGATGGTGAAAGCAAAATTCTCCTACGAGAGTGATTATAGCGCCTCCCGATGGTGAATGCGGCAATACTCACTGCAGGTTTTATTTGATAGTTTGGTCATTTATTTCAATGATTTGGCAACCGTCAAACGTCATCAAGGAAACGGTTTGAATTTCCGCTTAGTAAAAAAACATTAGTGTGCCATTTGGGACAACACTACATACATATACTTTCCTGTTGAGTGTGTAAGTGCATAAGTACATAGTGCATGAGTGCATAGTGTATAGTGTGCCATTTGGGACGCAGCTTTAGTCTGAATGGATTATTGAATCAGTGAATCGTTACCTGTAGACTTGCTTTGACTGAATCATTGATTCAGTGAATTGTTACCTGTAGACTTGCTTTGACTGAATCATTGATTCAGTGAATTGTTACCTGTGGACTTGCTCTAAATGAATCATTGAATCAGTGAATCGTTACATGTACACTTGCTCTAAATGGGTCATTTGAATCATTGAATCATTAAATGTAGACTTGCTCTAAATGGATCATTGATTCAGTGAATCGTTACCTGTAGACTTGCAAATATTTGTCTAGTAAGCTGTATGAATGTTATTTATTTATTTATTAAGTATTGCTTAGAATATCTGTCAGAGTCTGATGTTTAGATCTGTTGTTTGACAGTGTCTTTATTTCTGGATTTCCTCTAGGAAATAAGGGATGTGCTTGGACCATTGACAGAAGCAGAGCTCCAGGACATTTGGACAGCCGTTTTGGACATCTGCTGATGGTCAGGTAAGACTCACTTTTGTGTTTGTGTTCTGTTGTATCGGTTACCATCACTTCCTTTCTGGAGGGTTAACCCCTCTAGAAAGGAAGTGATGGTAACCGAAACGGGGAGAGAAGGGACGCGGACCCCAAATTTTTATAGCGCAAATTTATTTTTTTTAGTAAAAAGCAGCATAACCCCTGCTGTACATGGCCCCGAAGGTCAGGGGAGGAACCATTCATCCTCCCCCTTCATTCACACCAACACTCACACATATCGCAGTGATCTGGCTGGGATTGAACCAGCAACCTCTTAACCCTTGAGGCAATGCTCTACCGCTGAGCCACAGTCACATACCTAATAATGTGCTGGAACTTATATTTGACCTGTTCGCCTGTAGGTGAGGCAAAGAGTAAAAGTGAGCAGAGCTTCAAACCCAAGTCTTTCTGACAGTCTTGACCTTGGACAACATGTGTTCAGCCAGTAGCGCCACAATGGCACTCATGTGTCTTTTAGTGGTTTATAGCACTTTGTTGGATATGATGACACTCATTAAATGTAATAGAGAGGCTTGAACCCAGTACTCTTTGATATTAATGCTATGCTTTTACCATTGAGCCACAGATCTCTTAACCAGACACACCATTGAACTTATATTTTACTGTGATTTTACGATGAATCATGCCGTTAAAACTCTCAGTCTCTGTGGTTTTCATCTTAACTCACTGAGGTGGGACATGAACCCATGACATTATCCAGAATCTGCGTTTCACCACTGTAGTTTTCACCCTGAGCTCATTTGTTTGATATTTATTGGCTATAATGGAACAGAAGCAGTGATGGGATTTGAACTCAGGGCTCCATGTTCACAGTTCAACACTTTTAGCTGTTGAGCCACTGAATCTGTGCTAAAGTATGGGACTTGGAGTAGAAATCACTTGATTTATTGCACATTGTTTTCATTTGTACAGTCATCTGTTCCCTAATCATTGTTTGGTTTTTATTTATAGGAAAAAGCAGCTCAGAAGTGAAGGCGATGAGATCAAGGCTAAGCACAGGTAAGATACAAGCTCTTATACAGAATATAGTGAGCGTGACTTGAAAAACTGCTTCATTAGGCCTTTAGATTATTGCATTTAAATCAGCTGATCAAGTGATGAAAGAGGCTTTGTTACAGTATGCAGCTTTGGAAGATCTCATTGCTGAAGCCGTGTCTTCGTTTGCATAATGCCTCCTTACACTGCATGTTTTGCATGTCTCCTTCGTCCAGGGATGTCCAAACTCGGTCCTGGAGGGCCGGTGTCCCGCTGAGTTTAGCTCCGACTTGCTTCAACACACCTGCCAGAAAGTTTCTAGTATGTGTAGTAAGAGCTTGATTAGCTGGTTCAGGTGTGTTTGATTAAGGTTGGCCCTCCAGGACTGAGTTTGGACACTCCTGCCTTAGTCAAACACACCTGATTCAACTCATCAGCTCATTAGCAGAGACTCCAGAACCTGAAATGGCTGTGAGATAAAGGAGACATGCAAAATGTGCACTGTTGTAATGGATCAATGGAGGATGAGAGTTAACTGACCTAACCCTTACACAAACACAAAAACAAGCTCTTCACATTAATAAAACAACACAAATTATACAAACACCTCATATTTATTTGAAGTTAATACTATATAGATTACACTTGTAATGAAAATATTAGCAAACCGTGTAAAATAAAGTGTCATTTCACATGTTTTGACTAGACTTACGCCAATATTCAGTAATTTGAACATGCACAATATTGACACTTTAAAATACTCCGAGTAGTTACTATTTAAACTTTTAGAGTGCATTTAATAATACTCCAATTGCTGTATTGGCAGTGGTGGTCCGTGTCGTACATTTTCTGTGACTATTTATAGGGTTTTTGTTCATTAACTCTGTACTGTGATGTTTCATTTGTTAACATTAACTAAATGTAAATGTAATAACAACTACAACAACATTTATAAATGTTAGGTCATGTTAACTTTTTACTTAATACCTAATAACTAGGCCCACACGGAACCTGCGTGCACAGAAATCTGCAGATGTTTTGCCCATTATTGAATCTATTTATTTACTTGTGTGAATGTGTTATGAATTATTTTCAGCAATATTATTGACAAATATTTGATTTGATTATTATTGATTTGATAATGTTGATTTGATTTATTTACAATACAGTTTGTAAAGGATTATTTTCTGTCTTTTAGTAGATTTATTATATCTGAGACTTGCTTTGTTTACTAAATATGTGGTTCTAATTGGATTTGCATTGTAAACATTAAATAGAAGTTAAAACGGTTTTCTTTTTTTACTTAATATATTAAGTTTTTAGTTTTAGATACTCCCAAAAATCATTCCACATGAATCTGCAGATTTTTTTTTTTTAATTCTGTGCAGACAAAAATGTCTGCAGATTCTGTCTGGCCCTACTAATAACTCATTTAAATCTAAATCTTTATTGATTGAATGGAGTTAATAACTAAAACAATTCAGCTGTATTTTTGAATATATTTTAACATAACTATAATATGGTGATGCAGTGTTTCTCACTGTTATTTTATAACACTGAGATGTTATTGCAAAGTTATGTATTGCACTTTTTCATCCTTTTGTTTGTTTTCAACATGTATTTGCTCTAAACGTGTATATACAGTAAAGTGACACAACAAAGTATATTTTGTTATCATACCTGTAAAGTAATCTTAGGTCAATATAGGGATAATACGGTCATAAAATATTAAGCGATTAGCCCTAACAAGAGAATCTGATATTGGAAAAAGCCTAATTTTGACTGTTTTTATTTGCATTTACAACATTTTAACTAGTAGGTGTCAGAGCCTGTAGTGTGTACAGCATTCAGTTTAGTTCAATTGATTCAGAGTTTGGGAAAGCTCTGTTCCTTCCATGTAAAATGTGGAGCTCTGTTGGTCACCAGGACTGGAGTACTAAAACAGTTACTGCTGTCGATCCAGTCCAACAGAAGTCATCTTACAAGAAAAGAAGAAAAAATTAGGGTAATTACCAAATGTTGCATTCATTAATTTGATTCCAAGTTCAAGATCTCATTAATGTTGTGGTCAGTTAACAAAAACAAAACATGTACATTTTATTCTTAATCCTCAGAATTAAGTTCACATTTCAGAAATCTGATTTTCTTTCTCAAAATCCTCTTTAAATTTCACAATTTGTTTTTTCCCCTAAAAAATATTCTATTATTATTATTGCTCTTCTGAGGGGGAAAATCTGAATTGAAACAACACAATTTTACACAAGTTCAGTTGAGTAAATCTGGATATAGTAAATGCACCATAAATTCACTTTAAATCAGTAAACACACACAATAACATGAACTTGTGGTTTTAACTGTGAACAAGCATGATGCATGATGAATATAAATGAAAATAATGAAGTAAAACATCGACTAGAAACTTACTAGATACTCACATACAAGTTGTTTGAGTTTTGCCTGTTTACACATTCAGCAACAAAGCCTCTTTGGTTAAACGCATCTGTTTAACAGCATAATTTAAAAGATCATTTAGCCAAACTGCTAAAACACGTTGCTTTATACGTCGAAACGCTGCCATAGATCACAGATTTGCTTTCAAATATGTTTTATTCATTTCTCAGCCCTCTTACCTGCGACTGAACACCACGAGCTCATGATCTGAACAACACTGATTCATGTCCACAAGAGGGCGCTGACGACCACATCTTGACTTATTTGGCACTTGACATTGAGCTATTTAATAACCTACCTAATAGATGCATTATAATGTCTTGGTGTCTACATTTTAAATTATACATATGTGGAGTGTAAATGACTTATCAGACTTTAAATAAACGAGGCTTTAACGCTGTAACTCGTCCTGTTAGGGACTCTAGTGCAGTTCTCCATCCGCTCCACCAGGCGGCGCGCACGACTTCCCGTTCAGTCTGACCCAGAGCTTCCGGATGTTGACAGTGACGTTTGTTTTGGTGCAGCAGCAGCACGAGTGTGCAGTTTTAAACACATAAACTGAAGATGACAGCTCAGCGACAGTGTTTTAATGTCACTTAAACAACATTTAATGCAGTCCGACAACTAAAATATCCGACACACGCTGAGATAAAGGACAGGAATGCAGTGAAAAGCGACTCATCTGTAAGTAACTGTACAGTATTTCTCCTGCATTTCCTCATTAAGTCTTTATTCTTTGTACTTCAGTCGCAGTTAAGTTCATGTTTAGCACTTATTGAAGTGTCTTTAGTGATATGTTTAAGCAGAGCTCTCCTGTTTGTTGAACAGCTTTGTTTACATGCTGCTCTCTGTCACTGTCAGACATTTAGGAGCAAATGAATTGGTAGTTGCTGTTTAATATGTAAAGGCTCAGAGTTAAACAGCCTCTCATTATAAAGCAGAACAAGACATAATATGTGTTAACAAGTCAGTTTGTGAAGCTCCTATGTTCTGCTGTGTTTCTGGAGCTTGCACAGGCAATATTTAGGCTGTAAATGTGTATAATTCTGAATTATTAACTGTAATATCTGTCAGAGTGTGATGTTTAGATCTGCTGTTTGACAATGTCTCTATTTCTGTGTTTCCTCTAGAGAATGAGGGATGTGTTTGGACCGTACAGTCAACAGAAGCAGAGCTCCGGGACGTTTGGACTACATTTACTGGCGTGATGGACGTCTGCTGCGGACAGGTAAGACCTCCCGCATGTTTTTGTGTTATGTGCTATCGGTTACCATCACTTCCTTTCTGGAGAGGTCACCTCTCTAGAAAGGAAGTGATGGTAACCGAAACGGGGAGAGAAGGGATGGGGGTCTGGATTTTTATAGAGCTAATTTTTTTTTTAGTAAAAAGCAGCATAACCCCTGCTGTACATGGCCCCGTAGGTCAGGGGAGGAACGTTTCATCCTCCCCCTTCATTCACACCGACACTCACACATATCGCAGTGATCTGGCTGGGATTGAACCAGCGACCTCTTAACCGTTGAGGCAATGCTCTACCGCTGAGCCACAGTCACATACCTGGTGATATGCTGGAACTTATATTTGACCTGTTCGCCTGTAGGTGAGGCAAAGAGTAAAAGTGAGCAGAGCTTCAAACCCAAGTCTTTCTGACAGTCTTGACCTTGGAGAACATGTGTTCAGCCAGTAGCGCCACCATGGCACTCATGTGTCTTTTAGAAGTTTATAGCACTTTATTGGATATGATGACACTCAATTAATGTAATAGAGAGGCTTGAACCCAGTACTCTTTGATAGCAATGCAATGCTCTTACCAGTGAGCCACAGATCTCTTAACCAGACACACCATTGAACTTATATTTTACTGTGATTTTACAATGAATCATGTCGTTAAAACTTTCAATGTCTCTGTGGTTTTCATCTTAACTCACTGAGGTGGGACATGAACCCATGACATTATCCAGAATCTGCGTTTCACCACTGTAGTTTTCACCCTGAGCTCATTTGTTTGATATTTATTGGCTATAATGGAACAGAAGCAGTGATGGGATTTGAACTCAGGGCTCCATGTTCACAGTTCAACACTTTTAGCTGTTGAGCCACTGAATCTGTGCTAAAGCATGGGACTTGGAGTAGAAATCACTTGATTTATTGCACATTGTTTTCATTTGTTCAGTCATCTGTTCCCTAATCGTTGTTTGGTTTTTATTTATAGGAAAAAGCAGCTCAGAAGTGAAGGCGATGTGATCAAGGCTAAGCACAGGTAAGATACAAGCTCTTATACAGAATATAGTGAGCGTGACTTGAAAAACTGCTTCATTAGGCCTTTAGATTATTGTATTTAAATCAGCTGATCAAGTGATGAAAGAGGCTTTGTTACAGTATGCAGCTTTGGAAGATCTCATTGCTGAAGCCGTGTCTTCGTTTGCATAATGCCTCCTTACACTGCATGTTTTGCATGTCTCCTTCGTCCAGGGATGTCCAAACTCGGTCCTGGAGGGCCGGTGTCCCGCTGAGTTTAGCTCCGACTTGCTTCAACACACCTGCCAGAAAGTTTCTAGTATGTGTAGTAAGAGCTTGATTAGCTGGTTCAGGTGTGTTTGATTAAGGTTGGCCCTCCAGGACTGAGTTTGGACACTCCTGCCTTAGTCAAACACACCTGATTCAACTCATCAGCTCATTAGCAGAGACTCCAGAACCTGAAATGGCTGTGAGATAAAGGAGACATGCAAAATGTGCACTGTTGTAATGGATCAATGGAGGATGATAGTTAACTGACCTAACCCTTACACAAACACAAAAACAAGCTCTTCACATTAATAAAACAACACAAATTATACAAACACCTCATATTTATTTGAAGTTAATACTATATAGATTACACTTGTAATGAAAATATTAGCAAACCGTGTAAAATAAAGTGTCATTTCACATGTTTTGACTAGACTTACGCCAATATTCAGTAATTTGAACATGCACAATATTGACACTTTAAAATACTCCGAGTAGTTACTATTTAAACTTTTAGAGTGCATTTAATAATACTCCAATTGCTGTATTGGCAGTGGTGGTCCGTGTCGTACATTTTCTGTGACTATTTATAGGGTTTTTGTTCATTAACTCTGTACTGTGATGTTTCATTTGTTAACATTAACTAAATGTAAATGTAATAACAACTACAACAACATTTATAAATGTTAGGTCATGTTAACTTTTTACTTAATACCTAATAACTAGGCCCACACGGAACCTGCGTGCACAGAAATCTGCAGATGTTTAGCCCATTATTGAATCTATTTATTTACTTGTGTGAATGTGTTATGAATTATTTTCAGCACTATTATTGACAAATATTTGATTTGATTATTATTGATTTGATAATGTTGATTTGATTTATTTACAATACAGTTTGTAAAGGATTATTTTCTGTCTTTTAGTAGATTTATTATATCTGAGACTTGCTTTGTTTACTAAATATGTGGTTCTAATTGGATTTGCATTGTAAACATTAAATAGAAGTTAAAACGGTTTTCTTTTTTTACTTAATATATTAAGTTTTTAGTTTTAGATACTCCCAAAAATCATTCCACATGAATCTGCAATTTTTTTTTTTAATTCTGTGCAGACAAAAATGTCTGCAGATTCTGTCTGGCCCTACTAATAACTCATTTAAATCTAAATCCTTATTAATTGAATGGAGTTAATAACTAAAACAATTCAGCTGTATTTTTGAATATATTTTAACATAACTATAATATGGTGATGCAGTGTTTCTCACTGTTATTTTATAACACTGAGATGTTATTGCAAAGTTATGTATTGCACTTTTTCATCCTTTTGTTTGTTTTCAACATGTATTTGCTCTAAACGTGTATATACAGTAAAGTGACACAACAAAGTATATTTTGTTATCATACCTGTAAAGTAATCTTAGGTCAATATAGGGATAATACGGTCATAAAATATTAAGCGATTAGCCCTAACAAGAGAATCTGATATTGGAAAAAGCCTAATTTTGACTGTTTTTATTTGCATTTACAACATTTTAACTAGTAGGTGTCAGAGCCTGTAGTGTGTACAGCATTCAGTTTAGTTCAATTGATTCAGAGTTTGGGAAAGCTCTGTTCCTTCCATGTAAAATGTGGAGCTCTGTTGGTCCCCAGGACTGGAGTACTAAAACAGTTACTGCTGTAGATCCAGTCCAACAGAAGTCATCTTACAAGAAAAGAAGAAAAAAATTAGGGTAATTACCAAATGTTGCATTCATTAATTTGATTCCAAGTTCAAGATCTCATTAATGTTGTGGTCAGTTAACAAAAACAAAACATGTACATTTTATTCTTAATCCTCAGAATTAAGTTCACATTTCAGAAATCTGATTTTCTTTCTCAAAATTCTCTTTAAATTTTACAATTTGTTTTTTCCCCTAAAAAATATTCTATTATTATTATTGCTCTTCTGAGGGGGAAAATCTGAATTGAAACACAATTTTACACAAGTTCAGTTGAGTAAATCTGGATATAGTAAATGCACCATAAATGCACTTTAAATCAGTAAACACACACAATAACATGAACTTGTGGTTTTAACTGTGAACAAGCATGATGCATGATGAATATAAATGAAAATAATGAAGTAAAACATCGACTAGAAACTTACTAGATACTCACATATAAGTTGTTTGAGTTTTGCCTGTTTACACATTCAGCAACAAAGCCTCTTTGGTTAAACGCATCTGTTTAACAGCACAATTTAAAAGATCATTTAGCCAAACTGCTAAAACACGTTGCTTTATACGTCGAAACGCTGCCATAGATCACAGATTTGCTTTCAAATATGTTTTATTCATTTCTCAGCCCTCTTACCTGCGACTGAACACCACGAGCTCATGATCTGAACAACACTGATTCATGCCCACAAGAGGGCGCTAACGACTACACCTTGACTTATTTGGCACTTGACATTGAGCTATTTAATAACCTACCTAATAGATGCATTATAATGTCTTGGTGTCTACATTTTAAATTATACATATGTGGAGTGTAAATGACTTATCAGACTTTAAATAAACGAGGCTTTAACGCTGTAACTCGTCCTGTTAGGGACTCTAGTGCAGTTCTCCATCCGCTCCACCAGGCGGCGCGCGCGACTTCCCGTTCAGTCTGACCCAGAGCTTCAGGATGTTGACAGTGTGACGTTTGTTTTGGTGCAGAAGCAGCACGAGTGTGCAGTTTTAAACACATAAACTGAAGATGACAGCTCAGCGACAGTGTTTTAATGTCACTAAACAACATTTAATGCAGTCCGACAACTAAAATAACCGACACACGCTGAGATAAAGGACAGGAATGCAGTGAAAAGCCACTCATCTGTAAGTAACTGTACAGTATTTCTCCTGCATTTCCTCATTAAGTCTTTATTCTTTGTACTTCAGTCGCGGTTAAGTTCATGTTTAGCACTTATTGAAGTGTCTTTAGTGATATGTTAAAGCAGAGCTCTCCTGTTTGTTAAACATCTTTGTTTACATGCTGCTCTCTGTCACTGTCAGACATTTAGGAGCAACTGAATTGGTAGTTGTTGTTTAATATGTAAAGGCTCAGAGTTAAACAGCCTCTCATTATAAAGCAGAACAAGACATAATATGTGCCAACAAGTCAGTTTGTGAAGCTCTGATGTTCTGCTGTGTTTCTAGAGCTTGCACAGGCAATATTTAGGCTGTAAATGTGTATAATTCTGAATTATTAACTGTAATATCTGTCAGAGTGTGATGTTTAGATCTGCTGTTTGACAGTGTCTCTATTTCTGTGTTTCCTCTAGAGAATGAGGGATGTGTTTGGACCGTACAGTCAACAGAAGCAGAGCTCCGGGACGTTTGGACTACATTTACTGGCGTGATGGACGTCTGCTGCGGACAGGTAAGACCTCCCGCATGTTTTTGTGTTATGTGCTATCGGTTACCATCACTTCCTTTCTGGAGAGGTCACCTCTCTAGAAAGGAAGTGATGGTAACCGAAACGGGGAGAGAAGGGACGGGGGTCTGGATTTTTATAGAGCTAATTTTTTTTTTAGTAAAAAGCAGCATAACCCCTGCTGTACATGGCCCCGTAGGTCAGGGGAGGAACGTTTCATCCTCCCCCTTCATTCACGCCGACACTCACACATATCGCAGTGATCTGGCTGGGATGGAACCAGCAACCTCTTAACCCTTGAGGCAATGCTCTACCGCTGAGCCACAGTCACATACCTGGTGATATGCTGGAACTTATATTTGACCTGTTCGCCTGTAGGTGAGGTAAAGAGCAAAAGTGAGCAGAGCCTGGATTCGAACCCAAATTTCTCTGACAGCGTTAAACATGTGCTCAGCCTGACATGTTTCTGATTGAAAGCTGAACGCTCTAACCACTGAGCCACAGAGCTTGTACGTTTCTTGAGGTTTATAATCCGAATTTTGTTGGATCCTGTGAGCATATTAACAGTGAAACTCAAGCAGTAGTGGGATTCAAACCCGAGTCTTCAAAACATAAATCTAATGCTCTAACCACTGGACCATGGAACTAGTGTTTTACATCTTGGTTGTATTTCGAGTTTTGTTGGATCCCCTAAGAATTTTAACGGTGAAATTCAAGCAGCTGTGGGATTCAAACCCGGGTCTTCAAAATGGAAATCTAATGCTCTAACCACTGAACCATGGAGCTTGTGCTGTCTCTGAGGGTGTAATGTGGGATATGTTGGATCCCCCAATGATTTTAACAGTGAAATTCAAGCAACAGTGGATTCAAACCCGGGTCTCCAAAATGGAAATCTAATGCTCTAACCACTGTACTATTGAGCTTGTGTCTTCCATGATGGCTGTAATTTGAGTTTTGTTGGATCCCCAAAATATATTAACAGTGAAATTCTAGCAAAACCTGCTGTCTGAGGCTTTTAATTTGAGGTTTGTCGTATCTTTATATAATTTTCCACAGTGAAATTCCAGCAGCTGTGGGATTCAAACCCGGGTCTTCAAAATGCAAACCGAATGCTCTAACCACTCAACCACAGAGTTGGTCCTCACCGTAAGAGTTGTAATTCAAGCCTTATTGGATCCCCAAAGAATGTTAAGAGTGAAATTAAAGCCTGCGTCTTCAAAGGGGAAATCAAATGCTCTAACCACTGAACATGTTTAATGGAAGGTTTTATTGATAATTTAGTATCTGTTTGACTTTTTATGCGAAAGCGTGATTTGAACTCAAGACTCCTGATTGAGTAGCTAACGCTCTAACCACTCAGCCAATGAATCGCCTTCTCGTTATACGTTTAATAATATGTTTTCATATATCCACTTAGAAAACTATGATTTAAAGATATGTGATGGCGAGATTTGAACTCTGGGTTCTTGAGTGGATTACTAATGCTCTAACCACTGAGCCACAGAGTTTGGCCTTTGATGGAGAAGATGAAGCTGCTAAGAATCATATGTTAAACAGGGCTTTAATGAGAGTTTTGGCGCTTATGAGCACTAGTAATGCCCATACTTTAATTGTTCCTCTGCTTTTAACCCCACTCACCTGGAGCAGATGAGCACCAAGGGAGCATTTAGTGCCTTGTTCAAGGTCACGTTACTTCGAAGGAATCAGAACCAGGAATCGAACCAGGTACCACCCAACATGAATAGTCCAAGTCCAACTCACTGACCACTAGGCCACAGCTACCCAACCCTTTGGTTACTCTGTTACCACATGTTTTAGATAACTGAATGTTGCTGTTTAATAATTACTTAGAAATTGACAGATATTTCATCTAATAGAAGTTGGTGTTAAAACAAATGACCAAACCAGTTTTTATGAAGTTCATTAAATATAGGAAACTGGGTTATTTAAGTATTGACACAAAATTACAAACAATCATGATTCTTATGAAGAACTTTATTAATTATTCAAGCAATAAACAGCATCATTTGGACATTTAGATACTCTGTAGATGAACTGGAGTCCTGCAGATCTTGATTAGCTGCTGCAGGTGTTTTTAATCAGACTGAGGCTCATCAGGATCAGGAGCTACGTTAGACACACAAACATCATCTATCAACTGTTGTCCACATGAGGGAGCTGACTCACATTAACAGCAGAAACAGAGTATTGAACTTGACTAAACTGAGGCAAATGTTTTTCCCATCAAGGGTTGGTTAACCAACGTTAAACCAACTTTAAACTGCTCTTTAAAGAACATAAACATTTAAAACTTATACTTTTCTCTGCCAATGAAACTTGTTTACCAGGACAATTTATGTTTTCTCTAATGTTCCATGTGTTTTCCAGGACTGGAGACTTCATGTTTATACATGTTCCGGGTTTTCCAGGACATGTGGGCACCCTGGATTGGAATAACATTTGCCTCAGTTTAGTCAAGTTCAATACTCTGTTTCTGCTGTTAATGTGAGTCAGCTCCCTCATGTGGACAACAGTTGATAGATGATGTTTGTGTGTCTAACGTAGCTCCTGATCCTGATGAGCCTCAGTCTGATTAAAAACACCTGCAGCAGCTAATCAAGATCTGCAGGACTCCAGTTCATCTACAGAGTATCTAAATGTTCAAATGATGCTGTTTATTGCTTGAATAATTAATAAAGTTCTTCATAAGAATCATGATTGTTTGTAATTTTGTGTCAATACTTAAATAACCCAGTTTCCTATATTTAATGAACTTCATAAAAACTGGTTTGATCATTTGTTTTAACACCAACTTCTATTAGATGAAATATCTGTCAATTTCTAAGTAATTATTAAACAGCAGCATTCAGTTATCTAAAGTATGTGGTAACAGAGTAACCAATGGGTTGGGTAGCTGTGACCCAGTGGTCAGTGAGTTGGACTTGGACTATTCATGTTGGGTGGTACCTGGTTCGATTCCTGGTTCTGATTCCTTCGAAGTAACGTGATCTTGAACAAGGCACTTAACTCCTAAATGCTCCCTTGGTGGGGGGTGGTTGGTGGTTGGTCCAGGTGGGGGGGCTTAAAAGCAGAGGAACAATTAAAGAATGGGAATTACAAGTGCTCATATGCATCAAATCTCTCATTAAAGCCCTGTTTAACAAATGATTCTCCAACACTATAAACCAAACTCTGTGGCTCAGTGGTTAGAGCGTTAGAATTCCAATCAAGAGCCCAGAGTTCAAATCTCGCTGTCACATATCTTTAAATCATAGTTTTCATAGTTATATGAAGACATGTCATTAAACATATAACGTGTAGACTATTCATTGGCTGAGTGGTTAGAGCGTTAGCTACTCAACCAGGAGTCTTGAGTTCAAATCACGCTTTCGCATAAAGAATCAAACAGATACTAAATTATCAATAAAACCTTCCATTAAACATGTTCAGTGGTTTGAGCATTGGGCTTTAATTTCACTCTTAAATTTCTTTGGGGATCCAATAAAGCTTGAATTACAACACTTACGGTGAGGACCAGCTCTGTGGTTGAGTGGTTAGAGCATTCGATTTGTATTTTGAAGACCCGGGTTTGAATCCCACGGCTGCTGGAATTTCACTGTGGAAAATTATATAAAGATACGACAAACCTCAAATTAAAAGCCTCAGACAGCAGGTTTTGCTTGAATTTCACTGTCAACATTTTTTGGGGATCCAACAAAACTCAAATTACAACCATCATGGAAGACACAAGCTCAATAGTACAGTGGTTAGAACATTAGATTTCCATTTTGGAGACCCGGGTTTGAATCCACTGTTGCTTGAATTTCACTGTTAAAATCATTGGGGGATCCAACATATCCCACATTACACCCTCAGAGACAGCACAAGCTCCATGGTTTAGCGGTTAGAGCATTAGATTTACGTTTTGAAGACTCGGGTTTGAATCCCACTACTGCTTGAGTTTCACTGTTAATATGCTCACAGGATCCAACAAAATTCGGATTATAAACCTCAAGAAATGTACAAGCTCTGTGGCTCAGTGGTTAGAGCGTTCAGCTTTCAATCAGAAACATGTCAGGCTGAGCACATGTTTAACGCTGTCAGAGAAATTTGGGTTCGAATCCAGGCTCTGCTCACTTTTGCTCTTTGCCTCACCTACAGGCGAACAGGTCAAATATAAGTTCCAGCACATCATTAGGTATGTGACTGTGGCTCAGCGGTAGAGCATTGCCTCAAGGGTTAAGAGGTCGCTGGTTCCATCCCAGCCAGATCACTGCGATATGTGTGAGTGTCGGCGTGAATGAAGGGGGAGGATGAAACGTTCCTCCCCTGACCTACGGGGCCATGTACAGCAGGGGTTATGCTGCTTTTTACTAAAAAAAAAATTAGCTCTATAAAAATCCAGACCCCCGTCCCTTCTCTCCCCGTTTCGGTTACCATCACTTCCTTTCTAGAGAGGTGACCTCTCCAGAAAGGAAGTGATGGTAACCGATAGCACATAACACAAAAACATGCGGGAGGTCTTACCTGTCTGCAGCAGACGTCCATCACGCCAGTAAATGTAGTCCAAACGCCCCGGAGCTCTGCTGTACGGTCCAAACACATCCCTCATTCTCTAGAGGAAACACAGAAATAGAGACACTGTCAAACAGCAGATCTAAACATCACACTCTGACAGATATTACAGTTAATAATTCAGAATTATACACATTTACAGCCTAAATATTGCCTGTGCAAGCTCCAGAAACACAGCAGAACATCAGAGCTTCACAAACTGACTTGTTGACACATATTATGTCTTGTTCTGCTTTATAATGAGAGGCTGTTTAACTCTGAGCCTTTACATATTAAACAACAACTACCAATTCAGTTGCTCCTAAATGTCTGACAGTGACAGAGAGCAGCATGTAAACAAAGCTGTTTAACAAACAGGAGAGCTCTGCTTAAACATATCACTAAAGACACTTCAATAAGTGCTAAACATGAACTTAACTGCGACTGAAGTACAAAGAATAAAGACTTAATGAGGAAATGCAGGAGAAATACTGTACAGTTACTTACAGATGAGTCGCTTTTCACTGCATTCCTGTCCTTTATCTCAGCGTGTGTCGGTTATTTTAGTTGTCGGACTGCATTAAATGTTGTTTAGTGACATTAAAACACTGTCGCTGAGCTGTCATCTTCAGTTTATGTGTTGAAAACAGTACACTCGTGCTGCTGCTGCTGTACCAAAACAAACGTCACACTGTCAACATCCTGAAGCTGTGATTCAGAGTGAACGGGAAGTCGCGCGCGCCGCCTGGTGGAGCGGATGGAGAACGTTAAAGGCAGCGTTATTTAAAAGTCTGATAAGTCTTTTGGTCTCCCATACAGGTACTGATCAGGCACAACCCGGCTTAGCTTTAGTGGGCATCCATGTGAGAGTTGCAGAGAGCGAGCTGTCAGCTTGAAGCGGTGAGATCAGAACCCCAGTCTTCATAATGCTCTAACCGCTATGCCACTGAAGATGTTCTCGTCAAGGGTTTTAATGGTACTTCTGTTGAAATTCCCAACCATATTCTTATTTGAGGTGTTCAACAATAAAATTAACCACTGAGCCACTGGGCCTGTAGTGTGCTTGTGAAAAGAAATTATTAAACAAACATCTAGTCTATACCTTTTTTTTTGGGCAGATGTTTATTTAAATGGGTTCCCAATAGGTGCTCTGTTTTGACACATTGGTGAGAGGTCAGAGCCTACCACTATTGCTTCCAGGGAGTAATTAGGGGTTGCTTTGCTCAGCACTGCCACTAGGAGAGTTCATTGACTTTCCCACATTCAATTGCTGCCAGGTCCAGGAATCAAATATGCAACCTTTCGATTACTAGTCCAACTCCCTAACCATACGGCCACAACTGCCCCACAAACAAGGGTTACAAAGATGGTCCCCAACTTTTTTATGGCACATTTTTTAGCATGCAGCCATTTTGATTTCAAGGCATGTTATTTTTTCTTTCTTCTGACACTAGAGAGCACAAGATGTTTGGAGCATAGATGGAAAGTTGTCTCATGCATCTTGGCTAAACACTAAACCTCGAACATTTTGTATTTGAAAGTTTTCTGTCTTTAAAACCCCCAAAATGCACAGATTGTCAATTTTAATTTCAGCAGTTTTTAAGCTTTAAATTTATAAATAACTCAAACTACAATTTCTGCCACATAATCACTGCAGGATAGATGATTTCCCCCAAAGTCATACGCTCATTCAAATGATGATTTACAAGAAACATGCAAAACAGACTGGATTTGGAAAAAAAAATAGCTTTAATTGAACTTTCTTTGACATAAACATGCATAAAACAGTACACAGTACGTGATATTCACTGATAAGGTTATAGCATAACAATATCAAGAGTTTGCAGGCAATTCTAACAACGTTCCCTCCCAATTACCACAACATTCAAATAGAAAAAATTACAAAAACATGCAGCAAACAGACACATAATACCAGGCCAGAGTATAAAAGACAATCAAATCCTTAAGAAATAATCGCCGTTTGATTTGTAGTCTTTGGTTTTTAGCTTGGTGCAAACACATAAATACTGTTTCAGTGAGAGGATGCACTGCAGATCCGAAATGAATAAATAACACAAGGTTACACTATTGCATTCACAGCGCAATCCTGCTAGTGGAGCTTATTTTGTTCATAGTAAAATCACAGTGTCGTGCTGCAGGGTTTCAGTTCTTTGGGAAATTTCACAACTACAGACTTAAGCAATGATTGTCATGTTCAAACATTAGTCGTCATCTGTGGCGCTGGTTTCAGGTGAATGAGGCGACGCTTCCCTGAAGAATTCCTCCTCTTTCAGCATGCTCTGAAACGCATGAGATCAGCGTTAGGAGGATAAATAACTGCAACAGATACAAAACAGCTGGAACGTTTACACAGTTTTCTTACAGTCAGGTTGTTGATTTCCTCTGAGAAAGCGCCGATCTGTCGCACTGTACCCTCAGAGTCCTCCATCTGCACAGAGATGCATAACATCATGTACAATATTTAACATATACACAGCTCTCTGGAATACATGAGCAGATCAGTCAACATTCAAAGCTATGTTGTTCCCAGATAACAACTGCTGAAACTAATAACAGAGGGTCAACTCAGTACTATGAACCATCTTGAGTGACATATTTACATATGAAAAACATATTTAAGTGTTGATTTGTCACTCTGCTGTTTTTGAGGGTTTGGCGCCATCTTGTGTGGAAATAATAATATGCAGCTTAGTGTATTCAGCCATTTTTCTGAAAGCTTCAAGCTTAATTAAAATGTTAGTAATTGTTTACAGCTCATATGAGTGTTTTGTGTATAACCAGTAGAGATAGCCAATTATAACAAGCTTTTGCACTATGATTAGCCGTTTTAGCAGCATTGCATTCTGGTCATTGCAATTGCAGTACCTGCTCCAGCTTATCTAAGCTGTCCTCATATATGCCCTTATGGAAACTGCTGCTTTGAGGCATCAGCACATCCATGGGGCAAACATACTCCTCCATATCCTCTTGCCTCTTCCGTCTCAGTGTCCCAAAACTTCCGAATGACAGTCTTCTTGGCTACAAGCAGAAGACAACATTACATTTCTGCTGTCAAAAAGGAGTTCACAGTTATTTTTGACATATTCATAAGCTTTAACGTGCCTTTACTCTGGCTGTGGCTGTGAGCACAGTGTAATCTGGGTTTTCCAGATACTCCTGCTTCTGTTTCTGTGCCTCCGAACCAATCAGAAGATGGAAGTGGGTCGCAAGGTGACGTCTCAACAGCGTCTTATTTGGTGGGATGTTAAGAAGCAGGGCCATCGTCTCAACATTGAAGCGGGGCTCCAAAACCTGAGAAATGCAAGTATAAATCGTAGTACAACAACTTTAATGTGGTAAATCTGCTTTTACATGTTCATCGCATGTACCATTAGGCCTCCGTGGACTCCACTTCCTCTCAGGTTGGGGGCGTACTCTGCCAGATCCACTGAACGCAGCCACTCCATCACTCTGTGATTGGTCCACTGACAGATTTCAGCTGGTGTGGCGTTGTTCTAATAATAAAAAAGAAAGATGTTAAATCATATTATACGTGAATGAAGCAAAGTGTGTCAGCAGGAAGGCAGGGTATGTTACCTCTATTGGTCGACGGCGCAGACAGTTTGGGTCGTAGCCGTTGAGGCGTAAAACCTGGATGGCCCTCTTTATACTGAGATGGTGAAGCACACTGCCAACTTTCAGACCCAGCAGGTCATCCTGAACAAAGACATGGCGAGTCAATCTCACTTTTGTGGATGCAGTTTATACTTACAAAATGATGTAAAATAAATAAAGAAAAAGTTATTTAAAAAAAAATTGTAAATCTATAACCATTGTCTTATATAGTATTTGTTCTTACTAAGGATGTCAATGGTTACAGGATTTCAGCTTTCTTCAAAATGTCTTACTTTGTGTTTAACAGAAGAAAAAAACTCATAAGGAGGAGAGTAAATATTGAGTAGAAATTTTACCCTTTAATCAAATGCTTCTTGCTTGTTTTTTTTAAATGTTTGACCTTTCTACTTTGATTTGTATACTGTATACGTGACACCTACCACAGTCATGTAGTGAAGCATGCGTCCATCCACTCTGCCCTCATCAAACTGAGATTTATACTGGGGCAGGCCGATATCATCCAGCCATTCTTTGGCATAACGAAAATAATTAGTATCATAACAAAATCAACACTGCATTTGTTATTAATAACAGATTAGCATTACTTACGAGTAACCCAGTTGTAGTCCAGTTTGCCCATAGCATCTCCGTCCTCTGAGCTGAGCGACTGAAGAGCCAGCTGCAGTTTCTTTCTGTGTAGAGGATGCCTGATGCCCAGTTCCTGAAGCAAGCGCAGAGAAAAATATAATACTGCACACAACACAATAACCCACTGTTGACATTTAAGAATGCGGAGACCTTTTCCCAATCATGCTGAGACGCCTTCAGTAAAGTGTGTCCAGATTTAATCCACTGCTGGGCCTGATTCATATATAAGCCTAGTCCCTGTTCCTGCAGCCACTCACACACCTGCTCTTTACTCCAGCGGGAAAATGCACTGTTGAGCTCACTGAGAGAAACACACGAGTTACACCCAAATCAAACACAATGATTATTGAAAAACTCTTGATAAGTAAGCGGTTTGTACTTGTTATTGCTCCTCTGCAGATCACGTGACCAGCCCAGTCTGGGTCCCGCTGTGGCTCGAACTCCACCTCTCTGAAACTCAGAGTCTGGAGAATCATCCAGGTCAGAGGAGGTGGACTGACTTCTCTTCATCCTGACCAACACATTTTAAATATGATCAGAAGGTAATATTTTGTCTTAACACATCTTACTGATAACATATGATGAAAATGTCCTCCTCATTTCTTCACACTTAAGTGGTTAAACTTTTATGGACATCTGTCATCTGTTGAATGCAATACAAGATATTATGGAAAGTGCTGGAACAAAAGCAGCCATTGACTTGCATAATGTTTTTGTTCCTACTATGGCTGCTTTTGTCAGAATATTTTCCTTTGTGTTCAACAAAGAAATTCATACAGATTTGGTTGAGGGTGAAGGATGAGTTTTGGAGTGAACTACATTTTTTTAAACAAGCACCTTCCAAATAACTTCATGATGCCCTTTGATTTCTTCTTCCCATCAGGTGAGTGTGTGTCCAATGCTTTCTGCTTCTTAGTTTGCACTCCGGCCAAATCCAAGTGCTCCGTCCCCTTCTGCTCTCCCTCAGCTGCCAAAAAGCCAATAATAGAGTTAATCTTACAAACAACAAGCATGCTTTTCTTCAAGAAAGTGGAAAATTGTTTTAAAACAGTACAGCTTCATATAGAAAGAAAGTATACGACATTGTTTGACAGACACGGTTTGGCAAAAGTCACCTAGACTGGGAGCGCTGCCTGTCATCTTGTTCCCTCTGATCTTGAAAAAGCCACGTCCAAAAGAGGAGCGAGTTTTCTTACTGCCAAAACTCTCATTTCTCCCTGAGCTGGGCTGAGTCGGGGAGATGGATGGAGAGCCTCTGTTTTTGCTGGCTTCATCCTAAAATATTAGAAGCAAACGTTTGAAGATCTTGATTAAGATACAACACTTTTTTTTTTTTTTTTGACAAACTATTCCCCCCGAATAAACCTCTCAAGTAATTGGTCTAAAACAATTATGACAATTTAGATGCTTAGAAAAATCAACTACCATGTTATTATAAATGTAATCAGAGTGTGGAAAAGTATCTAAAATGAATTGCTAATTGTGTTTTTTTACGTGTTTGTCAATGAATTGGGTATATTTATGTCAGGTATACTGTAGTAATCTGCTGTAGGGGCCAGTATCTGTAGATGGAGCTATTGTGCTAACATGAGCTGTTATTGTGTGCAAGTGGTGTTTTAAACTACACCAGAAAGCTGAATGTTCATGGCATTTTTTTATAAGACCTCAGGCTAAATGGGCATTTCATAATTTCTCATTTTACAGTCAGTACCTCATTACTGCTCGTCAAAGGAGACCTTTCAGATTGCTGTACTTCAGAAACACTGAAAAACAAAAATTGAAGTAATACATGCCACACAAATGTAGTTATTTAATTAAATTATTTAAGTGGTTAAACAAGAATAGGGTACAAATGGTATCCAATTACTCTTTGAAGAAATAGAGGAAGAAATCCCATGATCTCCTGGAGAAAACGCTACATTTGCTAAGCAATAATTTTATCTGATAATATTTATATACGCAGTAGTCAACATTTTTAAATCAAGAAGGTTTTTTAGTGCTTTTGAAATAGTTTCAGTGCACTGATGAAAGGTTTTGATCCACATAAACGTTACTACACATGGCTGACTTCAAAATCTTTTCACATCTTTTACATACAACAGATGGCTCATGAAAGTTCCAGAATATAAATATAGCTTTGAATAGATAAATATGGATCCACCTTGTTTATTTCAATGACTACATTGCACCCTATTCTTGAAAAACACTTCAATAGTATGTTTATACACCATGTCATGTGTAAAATCAACTTGATTAAGAGAACAGACCTGTCTGTGGGTGTATGTGGGACTTCAGGCAGCAGCTCTGAACATGGAATGAGCTGAGGCTGTGAGAGAAACAAGAACGAGCAGCAAAAATAAATGTCAAGTATTTTGCCTGAGGAGTCATATTTCAATGAACTAGGCAGCGGCTGAAATCACAGGATGCTGCTCCCAAACAAAAACAACCCCCTTTATTAAAAAACAAAAAAAGTTAACTGTTATTGTCTGTTAGAGCATCACAATGAAAGTGGAAGGAGGGGGTTTAAAAGGAAGTCTGAGGAACATCCTGTGTACATAAGCATGTGTGCAAGAGGCTCATACTTCATCAGTTTCCTCTGTTCCTCCAGTGGAGAGCATCTCAGAGTCACACAGCCCTTCTCTTGTGTCCTTGTCACTGAGGTTGTCTGGGAAAACAGTCATGAGACAGGACAAATTGCCAGAGCTATTAGACTGAAACGCCGACAAAAGCTTTCTGGAAAATACAGGAGATCAAAATAATTGTTGGCCTAAATGTAACAAAGACTCAGGGAGAACAGACACGAGAGTCAAATTGAGTAAATGAATGTCGCTATAGATGCGTTTAATGGCTGCATTTTGTTTTTCTGTCAGCAAGCAGTTTGTTTCATCATGATGGCGGAGAAAGCATTTTAAAGAAAATATAATGCCTTTTTTATCATAAATGTAACTTTAAAGGAAATATAAAGAGCTTGTATTTTTGACAGAGATGATTTTACATAATTGTAGCTATGAAGAAAAATGCAAAAGATTTACTTATACACTGCTTGACAAAAGTCTTGTCGTTGATCCTGGACATAAAAGCAACAAATAATATCTTAACTTTTCAGATGAATCATCTGTTGAACTGCATCCCAATCATCGAAAATACTGCAGAAGACCTAATGGAACCCGCATGGACCCAAGATTCACAAAGAAATCAGTCAAGTTTGGTAAAGAAAAAAATCATGGTTTGGGGTTACATCCAGTGGATGGCAACATCAACAGTATGAGGTATCAAGACATTTGTGCAGCCCATCACAATACAAACCACAGGAGAGGGCACATTTTTTCAGCAGGATAGCATTTCTCATACTCATACAGGCTCCACATCAAAGTTCCTGAAAGCAAAGAAAGCTGAGGTGCTCCAGGATTGGCCAGCCCAGCCACCAGACATGAACATTATTGAGAATGATGAAGGATAAAAAAGCCACTTCTGATACCAAATGATCAACTAGAAGTCAAGTTATAATTTGTTGTTCCTAAAACTTGGATAAGCGGCAAGACTTTTGTCAGGTAGTGTACCATTTTTTCAACGCACTAGTATTATTGTTTTAATTTCAAGTCAAGGTAACATGGTTTTTAAAGTTATGTAATAATGTAGCATATCATTATTTCATTTATAGAGTGAGTGAAATTAACTAAAAGACACAAAAATTAAGCTCACCTTTTAACACATGCACAGTTTTCCCTATATCTTGAACCCGCCTGTAATGGATCAAAGACTGCTGCAGCTCTTTTATCCTGAAATCCTAACAATTCACAATAAAACATTAAGACATTAAAAAGACATTATTTTTAATTTCTCTTATAATTCAGTGAATCATGCTGCTTAATATGATTGAATCTCAAACATAACACTTTAAAATGATTACCTGCCACTTTTGATCTGTTTTACACATGCTTTGTAAATAAATTATTTAATGTCCAGTTTCTCTTGCTACATCTGAAGCTGTTAAATAATTGAAAGATTGTGGGGAGGCTCTAATTAAGAAACCACCGTTTTTGAAGTAATGCGTGAGCTGGCAGGTGGTTGATGTGATCGCTGCAGCAAAAACAGCAGGACGCCATATTGTTTATACCTTCTCTTCATTAGTCGCCTTCAGAGACTCCATCGCACTCCTCAATCTCTGCACCTCCATATCTGAACAACACACACAAAAGCAGCAGGCTAAACATTTCAGACTACAGACTTCCACTACATGCGTGTCTCAGGAATCAGTCAACTCGATTTGCAGTCGGGAATAAATAAAGTGAGTGAATATATGCAGATCTAGCAAATCACAGTTAGAAGAGCAGAAGAGTGCTGCCAAAATCAGGTCACCATCAATCAAAAGCGAGTCTAGACATGCGTAATACAATCCTTCATACATTCCAACACAATGTTTTTTTTTTTCTTCAGCTTATAATGTGCTTGGGGTACTTTCTTCTTTATCTCACCAAAATATTTTTATTCCTGTGTCATCCATTTAAAGTGCACAACCTCTGCTGCAAATGGATTTATTAGCCCATCTGTATTATGGTCATGTGACAACTTCTCACCCATGATCATTGCAATAGAGTGATACAGTACCTCTCTCTTTGCTTTGTGACTGTTCAGTGTTTAAGGTTTCTGGGACGCCTCGGTCTTGAATTCTTTTAAATGCCTGTTCTCTCTCCTCCAGCTGTTTCTGTAGTGATATCAGCTCCTCCTGACCAATAAAAACACAATAAACGTCTCACAGCACATTCAATTCAGACCTAAAAATAAGCTCACCATGTGCCACAAATTTACTTAGCTCTAATTTAAAGCAAAAATGCCAGGACTGCTAATATACAGTACAGTTAATACAAGAGAGAAAACATCCATCCATGCTATTCATACAACTCATGACCAGTGTTGCCAGATAAAGCTTACATTTTCCAGTCCAAAACCTGCCCAAATGCATAACAAACGCCCACAATATTTCATTAATATTTCATTTAATTTAAATTTATTTAATTTATTATTTATTAATAATTTAATAAATATTAATTTTAATAATTTATTTATTTATTTAAATTGCAATTAACCTAGTTACTTTAACCGTCATATTTTTTAACTATACAGCAACTAAAACCAGAACCAAAGCATAACCAGATCACATCAAAACCCCTCTCACAAACACACTGCACTTAATGTTGTGTAGATTACACTACCTATTAGAGTGTTTCACTTTTGAAATGTGGTATAAATTCATACATTTTGAACATAATTAGGTGCTGCTCGTCAATCAGCCAATGCTTATGTTTGTTCTTGCTGTCAATTGCAGAAAAAAATGATTGATAAAAGCGTCATGAAAAACCGCTGTGAGTTTAACTGCAGGCGCTGCGTGATGCTTGTAAAGGGGAGTCTGATTTGTCCGGGGACTCTTTTGATACAACTATCCTTCACTTCTTCTTGTAGGTGAGCCCATGCGGTTTGCACTATGCACTGGTCAATACTAACTAAATGGAGTAGGAGCACACAGTTATGTTTTGTTAAGTAAGTTGCATGTAAAATTTACGTTTCAAAACCGCCCAAATTTTGACAACCCGCAATGCCATTTTTTACCTGCACAACCAAATTCAAAACCGCCCAATCTGGCAACATTGCCCATGACACTTGAATTGTATATATGGGAGTAACTTCAGTTAACTGTAAACAAACAGTTTTAAGTGTTTTAAGGAATTAATTAAAAGGTGGGACTGTTATTTTCACTGTTTTTACATTATTAATCAAAATGCAGAGCATGGGTAATCCCTAAGATTCTGTACAAAGAGAAAAGTACACAGAAAAAAAGCATTGGCCTCAGAGATGTTTGTGATATTATTTTCACGTTAAAATACCAGGCGTAGTGTTATTTTCATAACTAATAAAAATAGAGCCAAGCATCACTCTCACTCAGTTTTCAACTACGGATGTGTATTATTTTTCATTTGTTTTGGTTATTTTGAATAGAAGTTTCCCAAACTAGAAGTGCAACCCTTAATTAAAGCTATATTCAGGTGAGGGAAAAAGTGGATCATGTGGTGTGAACATATCACATTCAATGTGTGTAAAAGGTAGAAAAACCAAGAGACAGGACCTCCAGCTATGAGCCTTTGTCCTGCTTTGAGTGTGAGGATAAAGTTCATTAGTTTAGTACATTCCATGATGGCCGAAGTGAATTACTCAAGGATTTCTCTGTGTGGTAAAGTGATTCGTGAACAGATGCTTGCTGTTACACTTCAGTGCTGCTAATCTGATGTTGTGTAATTATCACCTGACCATGAGGCACACATACTTTAGTTGAGATGAGGCTTCTCTCATAGTGTTGTCTCTCGTTCTCCATGGATGTCAACTTGAGGCGCAAGTCTTTCACATCCTGAAAAAGACCCTGAGGAGAGAGAGAGCATGTTATTTAGAGGACAAGAAAAGTTTGGGTTAGACACTGACAGACTAAAGGAAATACTAAATTGTTTGTCGAAAAAAAATAAAAATCACGCAAGGACACTGAAACTGAGAAGTTTATAAAGTATATTTAAAGTGAAATCTATATCTAACATGAAGGAAACCCTGCCCATTCGTTTGGTCCATTGTGGATTGCTGGTTTGTGAAACTCAAACTCTCCTCTGTGGGGTCATGCAAGTGAGAGAAAGCTGAATGGGTCCAGTGTAGTCTGGACTCAAACAGAGCACACAAAAAAAAGCTTTATAACAGGAAACGGCTCCAGCACTTAGTATTTCACCCTCTGCTGGATAAAGCTGGAGGATTAAGAAGCAATGAGTGTCACTGTGGAAACCTCAAGGTGGTCAAACCATAATAGCCAGGTTTCATTTCATGAAATGTACATGTTGTCAGTCCTGTTCATTCTTTTTTGCATTCAAAGCAATTCTGATTAATTGCTGGAGACTCTAATTTATGAGGACTGCTGGACTGTGTGCCCTGTGAAACTGCAAACGTGTGCTCAGTACCTCACATTCTCTGCAATCTCCTTCTGCAGCAGCTAGCTTCAGCTTCAGACTCGATATCTCGGTCAACAGTTCCAGTTTCTCTGCCTCTAAAGTACTCCTGCTAAGCAGCTCCTACACAATACAAGTAACAAGTTGGGTAATCTGTTCCTTTAATACAGTGTACAGTGTGCTTTAAATGCTTTGCACTTTTGTTATCGAACATAAGTTTATAAAAACAACCACACACTTGCTGTAGTAACTCTTCTGTAGCGTTCAGTTTCATGCGATGTTCCTCAAGGCTCGAGTCTAGGTCCCTTATTTTTTCTCCTTGGACTTCCACTTGGTCAGTCAGAACACTTACCTAAATAGATAAGAGGTCAGTATTTCTTGAGTTTGTTTGATGTGTGCCATTTAGAAACTACAATGGTTGTATTATAAAGGGGAGTCAATAGAACAGCAGCAGTGCACCACTTCTAATCCAACAGGAAAATCCCAGGCAAGCTATAAAGGGTCTGGACTTGGTTTTGACGACACACCTGGAGCACTAAACATTCTTTGTCACTTTCCAAGCGAGAGAGTCGCTCCTGGTGGACCAAATCCCCTGCTGCAGATCCATGGCCATTGGTCTGGAAACGCAAACAAACGCTTAGTGTTAGACATAGTTTGGTTCTACATTACACACGCATGGAAAGACTTTTCCAATTAAACACAGCAGATTTACTGGGAACTTGAACTATGTTGTGTGACACGCATCATATAGTTGATTTAGCAGGATCTAAAGAGTTAACCGAATGCAGTGAAACGCAAAATTCCAAAGGGACCGGTAAAAGAAATCACATGCTGCCATCTGTGAATCATGTGAGGTTGGTAGTGAAGATGCTATACTATATGAGGCTCATGTGAAAGTTTTTCTCATTGTAAGATTTTGATGCTAAGAAGAGGAAAAGAAAGAAAGCATGCACAAAGAACGGTTGAATGTGGAAAAAGGGGCCAAGGAAATGAAGTGTGCTTAATCCAGATGAATCATGGCTGGAGTTCAGGATGGAAAATTCAAAGGGAAAAACACTTGGGTCATTGCATCACACACAGATGAATATTTCATTTAAAAACGTGATGTAGTTTTTTTTTTTGCATTTTCCATTTGGCATCAAACAGGTAACCATTTACAAAACTATGACCAAAACTGACATTCATTTTCTTAAAAGTGGTTGCTGCTAGATCAGATACAGTTGGAGTTACAGGTACAGTGGAAGTTAACGAGAATTATTTATATTATTTATTAAATTTCCCATTTATTGTATTTTATAAACATCTACCCCTACCCTAACCGTCACTGTAACATAATAACAGTAGTTGTACCGGGTATTATGTATACTGTCTATTAAATTACCCAATAAATTGTATTTTTTAAGGCCTACCCCCACCCCAACCCTAAACCCAACCATGACAGTACTATAAAATATGAATTATTGTTATACAGTGTCAAAAGGATGCTGCTATACTGATGTGCATATCCCACTTCCCATCCGCCACGTATCGGATCTAGACTTTACCCTTACAAGTCCAGAGAAAGTAAAATAAAAGATGTTAGTATCAGTGTCTTAGTTTTAAGGATATTTCTAGAGTTCACACTTAGTTACGATTTGAATAAGTAAAAGCATATTTGGCATGGTTTTCCTGGAGAGAGCCTTGAGGATCTACTAGCCTGGGGCTCCCTCCATTTAGACAGCAGGGAGAGAGGGGAGTCTGAGCTTAGGTATGTCTCGACAACTCCCCTGCTATTGGATTCAGGAAAGAGTGTAAGGAGTTGGGGTTAAAGGGGAGTTTTGTCGAAAAAGGTGAAGAAGGCAGACTATATAGATGCATTTGGATGCGTCTGATTGGTTGGTTAGTGATTGATGATGTGAGACCAGCTGTGGTCAATCATAGCAAGTGATTCTCTCGAAATTGGTTTATAAAACTTCACCTTTAAGCCAGTGTGCTCCAAAACAGTGGCACAATTTGCATTTAATAGACATAAACCTGATATAAACACTCAAAGCTTACAGTTTGTCACTTCTGCATAAAAGGAACTACTTTTTTTACGTACCATATACTTCCATTCTCTTTAAATTTTGGCCAATCAAATGCTCTCTAATAACTGACATGCCCCGCCCCCTTCAAGACCATTCTCATTTGCTTCTCATTTAATGCGCTTGACCTCAACCACTGACTGCCAGAGCTGTGATAAAAACAAAACACGATTGGCTGTTTTTTAAAAGGGGAGGGGCTACTCTATGTCCAACCCTCTCTTTATGTTTCAGTTAAGCTTACGTCAGCTACTGGACAAAACTACACATTTCAAAGCTCTTCATGTCACGAGACCTTTAATAAACTAAAAGTAAATGAAAAGGCATTATGCAGGGCAGATCAATGATGCCCAACTCAGGTTATTTTTGACTTAGTTTATATAAATAATATAATATAAACACACTGAATTACTTTTATAAGAGTGTATTATTAAAACATAAGGTCAACTCTTTGTCCCCGTTATAACAGTTGTACAACAGGTAACCTTAATAAAGCTGTAACAGATTACCATAACATCATTTAACATGAGATAATCATGGGAAATTATTTTATGTGAGAAAAACACCCACCAATCTGCCTTGTAGCCACTCCATCAGACCCTCGGCTGTGGTTTCAGACACTTGACTGCGCATATTTTCCTTTTCCTCAGGATCCATTAAGTCCAGCGCAGCCCTCAGGTCCTCCAGGAGATGCAGCGCTCGAATGCTGCCCAGAAAGGGTGAAGTTGGTGACTGACAATCAAACAGGCCATTGGTGTAGGTCATGGCCTTAGAACCTGCGGTGAGCAGAAGAATGAGGATGAGTGAAGGTGATCAATGATGATTTTACGGATGAGGTAAAGACGAATCTTCAACAAGCAAAGAAAATTTAGATAAATCTCAAATAATTTGCACATTATATATGTCAAATCTGTGGTATTTGCTAGGCATTAGATGATGATTATCCGCGATTAATAACTGAATTTTCATCTGCATGGAAAATGATCTAGATGGACTACTTTTTACTATCTCATCAGTATTGCAAAAATAGAATAAATATATTAATGATAGCTTGCAAAATGATTAATGTAAAAATGCTGAAACACATTTGCTTTATTTAATATTTAAATGTCATTTTTAAATGTCATTTTGGAGTGACTTCGCCTTTAAATCACTGTTTTTCTGTAACCACTTTCAGCACTTTCCAAAAACAAAACACAGGTTGGATGACTGTGTCCTCAGCGCTCTGGTGGCTTATTGTCAGATGATGTAAACAGCGGGACGTTCACTGCCACGATTACAGAATGAATGGAAAAGCATGACCTTCAAGAGATTCGGTCTTGCTGAAGGCAAAGACATCCATTTGTCTCTGATGTGCCCCTGATTTGCTCAGAGATGGACAGTATTGTGGTCGCATACTGAATACACATTAGATTTCATCAGCGCTGAAATAGTGGAAAAAGCTGGTAATGCAGCTCACGACGCATACCCTCATCTCTTATATATCTGCAGAAACACTCAGAGCACAAATGTGTTCCCTTAGCTGGCTTATGTGCAAGCATTGCCCTTAAAAATACTTTGTTTTTGTGAACTTTTTTTTTTTTTTAATTCGTGATCACATGGTTTGTGACTGTCTGTAAAGATATAGGTCATTTTTGTGCATAGTATTTCATATTTATTTAGTCGTACCTGCAATGATGCCATCCATCTGCTCCAGAGCAGCTGCCAACATTTCACTGGCATCACACATCATGATTACCTTGCTTCAAACCTGCAAATGTCACATTCAGAAGTTAGATTCGACTTTGCATGGTGTTTAGGGGTGCAGATTTAGTCCTGCTTTCATCTGACGGCCTCCTCTCTGGCACTATTTTGAATTACTTTCCCTATATGCAGAATAGGAGGACTCAGTGTGTGTGTGTGGGATAATGACATGATTCTCCCAGGACTTTTCTGTGTGTTGGAATGCTTGGAATTCCAGACCTTCAAAACAAAGTCCCACAGGCTTCACGTCCGGCCTGTGAGTGCCATTGGCTCGCAGCTCTATAGAAGTTTGTCTTCTCCACCCAAGAACTACAATATTTAAATTTAAGATGCAAATAAAACCTAACAGAGTTATGATCTACAAATTTGTAAGCAACACATTCAAATGTGAAATACTCTGCATAAGCATCCATAACTAAAACAAAAATTTAAAAAATATTTTTTAGAAATTATAGTGCAGCTAAAAATAAAATGCTAGATGAAAAAAAGCCAAAAAAAAAAAAAAAAAAGTCAAATCATACATACATTGAAACCATAAAAAGTACTAAAACAAAGGTTAAAATCAGAAATTAAAAAGATCACATTAAATATTAGTAAATGGATTTAAACATGTACTTTATATTTGGGCTGCACAATATATTGTTTGAGCATCAATATCGCACTCTGCGCATCCACAATAGTCACATCGCAGAATCTGCATTGCTAAAGTGGGATTACATACATTTGCAATCAGAATTTTTAAACCCCCTGAATTATTAGCCCCCCCCCCCCTTTATTTTTCCCCCCAATTTCTGTTTGAAAGATTAAGATTGAGACCCAGAAAGATTAATTTTTTCAACACATTTCTAAACATAATAGTTTTAATAACTAATTTCTAATAACTTAATTATTTTATCTTTGCCACAGTAATTAATATTTTACTAGATATTTGTCAAGACACTTCTATACAGCTTAAAGTGATATTTAAAGGCTTAATAAGGTTAATTAGGTTGACTAGGCAGGTTAGGGTAATTAGCCAAGTTATTGTACAGCAGTGGTTTGTTTTGTAGACTATCGAAAAAAATATAGCTTAAAAGGTACTAATAATTATGCACTTAAAATGGTTCTAAAAAAATTAAAAACTGCTTTTATTCTAGCCAAAATAAAACAAATCAGACTTTCTCCAGCAGAAAAAAATATTATCAGACATACTGTAAAAATGTCCTTGCTCAAACATAATTTGGGAAATATTTAAAAAAGAAAAAGAAAATTCTAAGGGGGGCTGATAATTCTGATTGCAACTGTATGTTGGGATTACATAGTCACACAGTTCAAAATACTTTTTTTTTTTTTTGTTGAATCTCAAAATACTTGAGATTGGTTGAGTTACTGCATAGTTTGACCATAATGGTTCTTTTTTTAAGCTCTAAGAGTTTAAAGCATTTAAACTCCTTCAGTAACTTTTTTGAACGTTTAAACAGTAACATCTTTGCAGTGTTATTTTGGGTTAGAATTTTTACTTTTTTTTTGTACCTGAGTACAATTTGCCTAGCCTGAAACCATAAAGCACTGTTTATTTCACTTTTATGTTTGCTCCTACATTTAGCTATATTTGTAATCTATTTATTACATTCCATGCATGATTTGTTCCCCTACAGAATCTGTCTGTCAATAGAAAATTAATAAATTGTTTCCAAAATAGAAGTATTCAAGCCATCTGGTGAAATTGTATGCATATTGCAATACATAATCACAGAAGTAAAAAACATTGCAAAGTCATTTGTCCAATCATGCAGCCCTACTGTATAATTTGTTTTAAATTTAAAATTGGATATTTGACCTTATTTAACTATAAAGTTTCTATTTAATGTATTTGTTAAAATGAATGAATTGCCTAATAAGTGATGAACTTAAGACTTAAAGCACAGCGATAATCCAATATAAATAAAAACATTCCAAGGATGTAATATGTCATCAGCTGCTGTGCATTTTTATAGTCTTGTGAAAGGTAGAATAAATACATACAATGCGATGACCAAATCAATTTTACTGAATGCTTATAGGTGTTACAACATTTCCAAGTGTTTGACTTTGTAAACCACTGACCAGCTGAAGCTTGGCACGCTAAATAGTGCACTAAACCTACAAACAAACAAAAAAGTAAAAGGCACATTAGTTGCTTGCTCAATGAATAGTACAGTAAGTTAAACTGACCCATCTCTAAATAGGGCAAAATGCTGCTCATTGCTGGTCACAATTACCAAGCCAAATGGTATGGCAAAACACTCCAAACAATTACCCCACTTAATCTTGTTATCAACTGGGCGAGAGAGCTAGAAATCCCAACCACCAACACTGAGGTCTTTGTTCATCGCTTTACAAGCAACCCCTTTAGAGAAAGAGCATTCTTCAAGCTTCTCTCATTATAACATTAAGCTATTCAATTAAGAACTTATCTGATCAGAAAGGGCAAGATCGGCCCACACGTCCCTTCACAGTTTAAGCAGCAAGACGAGCGTTCCAAGCCTGCGTTTATGGATATCAGATTTGCTCAAGTCAAAGAGCTCTTTGTATACCATGCTTGCTGAAAGTTCACCTTGTGGCAAGTGTTGTTTTAGAGCCCACATGACCAAATCAAGCTTCTGACCACAACAAACAAATCCTCACTGAAACCTCACTGAATATGAAAGTTGGAGTAAAATAAGAGTAATGATCTGCTGGATTTGAACTGACATCCAGAGCCATTACCACCTATAGAAACACTGGCCAAAGTGGAGCTCGGCCCCAGCTTGAAATCAGCGCCTTTTCAAGTTACGTTTGGCAAGCGGAAAGCATTCTCCACATCCCTGGAGGGGAAAAAGAGCTGTATTTAGTCAACTGCCTGCATCACTTCCTATGGGGAAGCCCTAGATTTTCTGGCTGCATGGAGAAACTCTAAAACTGATAATTGCTTTACTTATTACTATTGTAGAAGTCTATAAATTGAGCAGGGATATACTTTGGCCTGTTTTATGATTACACAATAAGAAATCAATGTACTTTGTATACAACATTTTCATGGTTGTTGCTAGATTGTATATGGGAGTTATTGATATTCATTCATTCATTTTCTTTTCGGCTTAGTCTCTTCCATCAATCCAGGGTCGCCACAGGGGAATGAACCGTTGACTCATCCAGCATGTTTTTGCGCAGCGGATGCCCTTCCAGCTTCAACCCATCTCTGGGAAAATTTATTTATATCATTTATTAAATTTCCCATTTATTGTATTTTATTAACATCTTCCTCTACCCCAACCACAAACCCAACGGTCACAGTACTGTAAAAATATTATTTATTGTTAAACAGTGTCATAAAAATGCTGCTACTGTATATTGATGTGCATTTCTCATTACCAGTCGGCTGCATATCCGATGAGACGTTCCTTATTTTCACTAATTATTATGTTACATTTCATTTTTACCTTATTTGCTTTCAGATTCTCCCCTAATTAAAGTATGACTACATATATTGCCTGACATATATTGCAGAAAATATTTACATATTTGCACTAGATTTTTATTGCAAAATAATATTGCAACAATAGCATGGTTATCACAATAATAGTACATGCAAAACATTTATTTTATACATTAGTTTATCTAAATTTGACCAGTTAGATTAGGCCTCACTATCTTATCTATCCGGTAGTTACTGTTCCGCTATTCGCTAGAACCCTGCAAACAATTTTGTGTTTAATAGACGTCTAATAGACATTTAAACATAGAAAGCTTGACTAAACAGATGTCTAAGAATAGCCCAAACCTAGACTAGCAGTCAAATAGACCGACTGTATGTGTCGTCATTCATTTCTTATTATTTGATTTTTAGACGCCTATTAGACTTTCACTGACAGTCCAAATTTAGCCTTGTTTTAGCCAAGACAACTGTTTAAACATCTATTAGAGCGTGGGTGAACCCAGAGCTGAAAATAAACACTAATTGCCAGAGTTCATTAATTACTGAGGTTTTCACTCATTCAGTGTTTTAAGACTAAATGTTTGCACCTCGACAGTTTTTTAGACTGACTTAAATTTCATTAGATCTAAAAAATATCTTTAACCTGTTTATTTTTAATGTCATTAAATAAATAAATGATTTAGCTTATAAAAATAGCATGTTTTAGGGGAAATGATTTAGCGTATCGCTATCGCAGTGCTTATCAACAATATTGCATGTCACATATTTTCAGTATCGTACAGCCCTAATCCCTTTACTCTGTTCGTTTCACATTTATTTAGAGTTTCCATTTTACAAAGCTTGGATGGAAAATCATATGGATGAAAGCAAGCTGCATGTGATAGCGTGGAGTGATGTTTGGCTCCACTTCACTTTTGAACAATACTTTCCAGCAGTAAACGTAGCACATTTTAATCAGTCACAAATGGACTGAGGAATTACATTTCCATACGGAAAGAGGAGGAAAAACTGAATTATTTGGCACTAGGTGTTTTGTTTGCTTCCTCAAAGATTCGTCCACTGCTCCCAAGAAGATCCATATCGTACCATGCACCAGTCGCTCCATGACCCTGATGACCAGCTCCCCCAAAAACCTCCCCCTTTTCTTCCAGATTGCTGAAAAACTCCTCCAGATGTGAGCTCCCTCTCGCATACCTTCACAATCAGCATTTCCTCTAAACATAGATATCATACAACCGCCCTCAGGCCAAAGCAATATCAAGCCATTGGTGCAAATTAATTCATGTGTTTAACCAATAATCACCAGGCTTGATATTCCCTTAAAGGGCTGTTGAGCGAGGCTCTGGAGGAGGGACGGTCGTGGCTGGCTTGGTGCCCAGGCAGGCCTACGAGCACAAAGGTAAAAGTCGTTTTGATTTATTTACATACTCTGACGTTGGCCAGATGTGGAGATAGGGGATGGAGTGGGGGAAGTCTGAAAGAAAAACAACTCGCTGGCTGTGCCGTTATCCAGGCTGAGCCCTGTCCCTCAGATGGAGCGTGTGCTACTGAGCTCTACGCTATACAAACAC